GATTTGAACGTAGAAGAGAAAAGATGTGAGCGGCTGTGAGAGACAATAGATTAGGGTTAAAGGATTTTAGTTTTGATTTTATTTTATTTTATTAGGATTTAATTTATGTTTTTAATGTAAAAGCTTTATAATTATGAAAGGATAAAACTGGTATTCTAGGTGGCCTAAATGCTAGTTAGTATATTTTGTTTTATGTAATGTTATATAGTGATTTATATAGATAGAAAGGGTAATATACCACCTAGGAATTTCCCTTTAATATTTGGGTCAATTTGCTAACTAAACAAAAAAAATTATAATTAGTGTAATAACCATGTAATCATATATTTAATCATATACCATTTGTTGATCGGATATTTGTCGACATGTTTTAAAAGACGGAAGCTTTCATTTAGATTGATTATTTTGTAATTGAATTTGCAGAAACCAAAGCGAAAACAAGAAGAAGCCATAGACACTGAAAAGCGAAACAGTGTTGGAGGAAAAAGAAGGAACCTGCGAGAGTTTGGCATGACGAAATCGTGTGAATCATTCGGAATCGATGGTGGGCAAAGCGAGTCTATGAGAGGAAAGCGTAGAATCAAGCGTGTTCCTATGATGATCCGGTAGGGTTTGCATGTACTCGAATATCTCCCTAGCCGTCTACTTCACATCTGACTCCGAATTCTCCAGATCTCCTTCTTCATCGACCTCAAGTTCTGGTTCCAACTCATGGATACCATTCACCTGAGAGGAAATGGTTTTTCAAAAGGCAGGAGCGTGAGATTAGAAGAAGAGGTTTCTTTCTCTCCACTTATAATTTTTCATTTCTATCCCCAAAAATAAGTTAAAAACTAAATCTGACACCTAATTCCATGTTTGCTTTTTCGTTCTTGTTGTAAACAAAAATTCACGGTTTACAACAACATACATATAATAGATAGAGAACCATTTCCAAAGAAAATAATAGTTGTGAATGCACGAGTCTCTTTAGAATGTGGCTTTCTGTTCTTGCAGATACAAAAACGCTCTCACTATGAACTGAATTCCATGGAATGTGTATGTGTGTAGACAACAAGAAATCGAAGATTAGGATATTGGCCTATGATCGGCAGTCAGATCAGTCGTGATTCACTTGTCTGAGACCCTTTCTTCAAAGATTATGGGACAACATTTGGTTATTTAATTCGAGTCGAGTCGAGGAAGGCATCACAACTCGAGAATAC